TATTTACCTAAAATGATATAAGCTTACATCACTAATTTTTTAGCTAATAGATGAATATTATTATATTTTATAATTTATTACGCTTGAACATTTATTTTGTTACTATTTACATATTTAATTCAAACATAATGAAACATTTTTTATTTCTTATTAAAATAGAGTGAAATTTAAACTACATATAATAAAAAAATTATATTTTGACGGAAATTGTACAAAATATTTTAAATAGATATTCGTAACAATATTTAAAAAAAAAAAAAAAAATAAAAATAAAAATAAAATAAACAAACCATTCTTCTTCCAACGTAAATTGTATAAAAAGAGATTCACTAAAGTATAAACCTACATGATAGTTCTACTTATTTTCATCCTTTTAAATTGTTTATGTCAAGTTTAAGTAAGGTTTTGTCATTTATTATTTTATCAATTTGTATCAAAAATACAATTTTTTTCTACCTTTTTTAAATTTTCTAACTTCTAATTATCGCATTCTATCAGCACCCAATATTCATATTGAAAATGCTCGACTAATTATCGTTGATGAAATATATAAATTTTTTATAACGATATCAATGAATGGTCGACCTTTTGCCAATGTTCAATATGAAACATTTATAATATTTTGCTTATTTTTTAATAAATTGTCGGGTTACTAAACATTTATTTTAAATACCTTTTTTTATATTATTAAAAATATTTTTTAGCACCTCAATTAAAATAAATTAAAATAAAACATAATTACACACAAAATACTCATAGTAACTTGCTAGAAATATTATTATACTATATTTTTTAAATTGATTAATCGACTTATGTATACATACCCTTACGATTCAAAAGTTTTAATTTTTTTTTCTCGTGAAATAAACAATTTGTATCATTAAATACAATAAGATTAAATAATAAGAGAACAATTGAACATAGTTAACATAATTTTGATGAAAAAATGAAATATTATTTTTTTTAAATCAACGTCGGTAAACATGGTTTTACGTTAATTTTCGTTGCAGAGCATTCCTCATGAACTCTATTAAGATTAGATCATCAAAAACAAGAAATTTTAAGTTATTAGATTATTAGCAAATATGTTATCCATAAGAACTTTTAGTTAATATAAAACATATATTATATATATAAGTTAAAATAATATCCCACATGATAAATTATAAAAATTAATATTCATAATTATGGTCTCTTCGACGATATACGTATGTTTAACATTTAATTTAATTTGTATAGGTTGTCTAAGAATGTATTATTTTGATTTATTAAATATATGCTATTATTATAATACATATTTACTTCTTGTACAATTTTAATTTTATTTATATTGACTATTAATAAAATAAAAACTACGAAATTAATAATAAAATAAGTCTGAATAATTAATAACAAAAATAGATATACGTCCTACATACTCAACTAATATGATTATTTTTTAATAAAAAAAAAAAAAAAAAAAAACAACACAAGAAATATTTTCAACCTAACAAATATTTTATATATTTTTTAGAAAAAAATATTAGAACATAACATTTGTTGAATATATATATTTATTTTAAAATATATATTTGTAATGTTATAAATTTATAAATGTATTTACAATAAGCATTATATGTAAATAAGTAATTTATTTTGATAAAAAATATGGGTTAAAATTAAGTAATTTTTTTGACAGGAACTATTAAATATTAAAATGTGTACATTTATTATCTACTTAATTTATCAATTGTATAATTTCAATGAAAATACGAATAAAAAATTAGACAGTTATTAACCTTTACATTCTTACTTAACTATTATTTATTATAAAGGTAGGTAAATAAAGTGAATATTGATTTTATTTTTATGATTATTTTATAATATAATGTTTATTTTTTCTACTTGAAAAATAAAATACTAAATAATAATACTAATTTGAGTAATTAATATTATTAGGTACCTACCTAATCGGAAAATTAGAAAGCTTTGAAAGTCGATAAGCTGATTTCACTTTTAATTATTTACTATTTTAAATAATAAAATATACTATGAAATAAATGAAATTGATCAGAGCTTATAATAAATTACATAATATATCACACGCATATGAATAATTCTATTTCCGCCTGAACAAATTCTAGGAGACTCGACGGTGCGTGTTATTATGCAGTAGGTCATGTATGAAATTGAGAATAGTTTGAGATTTGTAACAAAATAATAATCATTGATACATCACCTTAAAATATTCCGGAATATGAAATTCTATCATTCGCGTTAAAAATAAACATAAACAATATATATTTCAACAATATTCGTCCAAATCATAAAAAAATGCAAGACATCTGGTAATCAAGACTTCAACAATTTTTAGTATAAATAGCAAGGCTTAAAAATTTAATATAAGATACGCCAAAAAAATATATTATTGAAATTAAAATATAAAAAAAGTTTAGCATGATTTAAAAATATTTCTTATGCTCATTCGAAATTCTAATTTTAGAAAATTAGATATTAAAATGTAAAAAAATAATACCTTTTCAAATAGGTTTTAAAATTTTATTGTAACTAATTCTAAAAACTTGAAAAATCAAACATTCCACTATAACTCAAATTATAAATGATACTATACACGATGACATTTTTAAAATATTCAGATAAAAATTAAGCTTTCTAAGAAAATTTGAAATTTAGAAATTTTTTGATAAAGGTTTGAAATTTAAATCTTGAGAACTTTCAAAGTTATAAGCATTTGGAATTCATTATGCAAGGGTTTTTTTCTACGCTCATGTCCTTTTAGAAAAACAATTAACTTATATCAAGCCTTTTTTTTTCTATTGTTATTTTTACCTAAAATTCAGAAAACTATGCTTAACAAGATTTTATAGTAATACTATCTTAGGGAAATTCGGTCTTCAATCATTCTCCAAAAACAAAAATGTTTATTTATTGTAAATCACTTGATGTCTATAATGAACGGAGAGTCATGGCTCTCCTATATACAGAGTTTATCACGTAATAAACTTAATTCATTTGTAATGCTAATCAAAGTTATAAATCAAACAAATACAATCGATCATAGTAAAGGACTTAACAAAATATCTCATCAGTTACTAATTAATGATGAATTAAATTTTTTCAACTGGTCTACATCTAGCTCAAATAATTTAATAGCTATACAAAAGAATAAATAACTGTCTTTTAGTTAATCCATTAAATAAATACATCAATTTTAAAAAATAAATAGAGAGTTCGCAATAAAAACAAATATTACCCCTCATTCAAACACAAAATTATCAAAATCTTCCACACCCATATTCACTTTGTACAACTACTACTGACGTGGCCAATAGTCATTGAAACTGTTATTAATAAATCGTCAATTAATAATTTTATGTTTGATATTATTAGAAAAATATCTGTGTTAATCTTTTGTAAACGACATAGAAAATAAACACGTCATACTTAATTAAACTGTATTATCAAAAATTAATTAATTATTTTAAAAAGAAAAAATTTTAATTTTCAAACGTATATTATACAAAATCATATCGTATAGTAAGCGATACCTTCACTAGTACCTATTAGTATATATTATATACACCAATTAACTGCATAAAGATGAATTAAAACACGAAGAGGCTTTCTTGTCAGAAATGTTACAAAAGTTCTGCACGATCAAACAAACATAATTATCTCTCTCTCTTTTTTATACGTATCAAGCCTTCACCAATTAACAAAAATATATGCTTAAATTCGGTACTCTATAATAAAAAAAACTTAAAATGTCTTCCTCTTTTTAATTTTGACTAATTCTATATGATAAAAAGTAATAATTCATATAAGTTATAATACATGGTATATTTTATTTTTAAGTAAACCGTTTAAAAAAAATAAAGTAATTCTTAATTCACATTGTTTTACTAATTATGAAACTCTTATCGAAGTATAAAATTGTTATTTTTATTAGATAATTTATGTTCACTCGCGTATACTATTATAAACGGCTTAAAATTTATATTATATTTTCACTATAAACGGTTATCGATATACTATGTCATCACAATTAAACGGTTAAAAGTATTTTATTATTATACAATATAATGTACGTATATTATTTAATAAATTATTAAAAATTATTTAAAATCCTAACCTAATCTAAGCGTTTCTCCAAATTTTGAAAACGAGAATCGAACTTTTTTTATTTTTTGGTAGATTTGGATATCATCCTAAGTCATAACTCGTACATTTTACTTATTAAATTGTATTATAATAGTCTAAAGATTGCTCTATATTAAGTGTAGTAACTGCAGATGTTAAATACCCTGGGGGTGTCATAATATTTAATAAAGAAAATTATTACATTATTATTGTTGTATATATAAATATATATATATATATATATATATTATTATACCAAAAAAATGTTATTAAAATTTTTTAAATATTCAAGTAATTAATAAATTACTTGAATGACATTTAAATAGCTTAATTGTTGATTTTATAATCTATTATACCACGTGTATTACTACGGTTTAACTTTTTTGGAGGATGTAACATTATTTTATTTCATAATTATAACGAAATAATAATATTTGAAGTTTGAAAATATGTACTACTAACCCTAAAATCAAAAATGTATTTATATATATATATATATTTAAAAAACACATTTTTCATACATTGAGAAACATTGGTCAATATTATCATTATTTCTCGATGAAGATGAGTTACAATCAAAATCCCAGTTTTTGAATTTTTAAAATAAAAAATATGACACTAAACCGAAACCGATACCGTTATCATTCGATATTTATTTCTCATCGCTGTTCGCCGATAACGAAATAAAATGACGTTTACTAATAGTACAACCAAACTTGCCTGTACCTTATAGTACAATAATAATAATAATATTATGTAGGTACACGGTGCAGCGGTGAAAGGACGCGCTGTGTCGTATTATTGCCACCGCCGCAGCGTATGATAATAATTACCGGTTGGAACAGACTGCACTGACCCGAGAGCCGGTCTTCGACTGTCGAATGCCAACTTTGGATCCCGACGGATCTCCTCCGTATTTTTACGCGACCGCGTGTGTGCGTGTGGGTCAGCGGTGTGCCGCGTCCGAATAACTCGTTATCTAAGGGAACCGTTACCGTTCGAATGTTAATCGCCGTGTTCGTTGAAATACGCTCTAAAATCTGTTTTTGTTTTTAGTTTCGATTGAGATTTTCATCGCTCGTTCCGTGATAAATTATTTTTGTTACCAATAAGTCCGCGATAACCGTTGTTGGTGCAACTACAGAAACAATATACTAGACCCGTCAGACGTCAACATAACCATGAGGATTCTGCCGTTCGTTTTCCTCCTGCTCATGGGTAAGTTTTTCATCGCCTAATATCATTGTTATTTATAACGAATATGTGTTACAAATCGTCAACAGTCGATAAAATCTTTGAACAAATAGCATTTAGTGAAGCTTAAAAAAATCATTTAAAATTTAATGAATTATTAATGATCTTAAGTTTTAACGTTAAATCACACAAATATATCCTGCGCTGTAGGGCTCGCTGAAAATAGAATAGAATAATTATCAACGCCTAACTTTTGTATCAAATCAAGTATTTTATTTTAATAAACAAAATGATTTGTTAGAGGACATTGAACATTTGAAAGAAGACATAACGGACATTTTTAATTTTTTTTTTTTTGTTTGTTTACGTGATTGAAATTAGATATTTCACGGTATATTATCAGTGTAATCTGATATAATAAATACACAAAATATTATTTAGCTTATATTTTTGTTTAATTAAATAATATTATGTAGGTAAAATGAAGTAAGAAAAAAAAATGTATCAAGTTAATAAAATATCATACCTTTAAAAAAATATATACGTTCACCATACATTATTTTGAGTGATCTTTATAACCCATTAAATTACTGTAAGATATTAACCACTATTACGTATAAACTTTTCTATTCTATTACAATTTAAATGTTATTAAATACAAATATATTTAAAAAGTAATGTTTTCTAAATTAAATATAGGATTTAATCCAGTTACAAATTTTTCTGGGTATAGTAAAAGTTTTTTAAGAAAAAAATACATTTCCATTTAAACATAAACATATTTTAAACAGTTCTTTCTTATTAACTAGTGCAGATCGTTTACCTAGATCGTATAGATATAAGGTACTAATTAACACATTTAAGTTTATTTACAAATTATAAATAATAATTATATTTATGTTCAATAAAAATATGTTTTATTGTGAATATAAAATAAAATCAGCCCTGAGAAATATATTAATAAAATCTTTAATTAACAATTATATTTTTAAATTTATTTCTCAATGTTAATTTTATTTATACTCACAATATAATATAGAAATAAGTATGGATAAAAAAATTATATAATTATTATAAACTTATAACTTATATCGCCTTTTCTAATTATTGTTGAGTATTATTTTACGGTGATATTGACTGATGACGTTATCCATTTATATTTTTGTAAATAAGAAAAAGAAAGAAAGTATATTTACACCGTAATTTGTTTACAAAATACGTAAATACGTTCATATTATATACATAAGTGCAGTTAATAACTATTAATGTACCATGTTGAAAAAATATTTTGAAAGACGAAATAATTATTATATTTCAAATTCTATATAGATAACTATTTGAGCTTATATTTTGTGCTTATTAATATGAAAACCAAAATTTTAGGTAACGATGAAAGCAAAATAATTTAAGATGTTGATTAATTTGAATAAAATGATACTACTTTCGTGCAAAGTGAAAATTGCAAAATTATCATTTTGATATTATATTCATTTTAAATAGAGTAGTTGCCATTTGTATATTGATTAAATATGTAAAAGCTTATAGTTATTTTAATTTTCTATACCTAGTTAAAAATATTGTTAAAAAAATAAAGTTGATGGTTTTAATATTTAAATTAATACTATACGTATTGTAATATTTCTATTATAGGTTAGTAGTTATCATATTTGAATACATTAAATTGTTTAATCTTATACTTTAGAAATGAGGAATATATTTTGATTCGTTTCTTATAAAATATAAATCATCTAATATAGATATTTTAATGTGTATAATTATTTTAAACTTTACCTATAGGTATGAGATAATTTAAATGTTAGGTACATTACGATATATTATACATATCCGTATCGTTTGTCTTACTATTTTTGTTAGCAAAATAGGATCAATTCTAATCGCCTCTTTAATTTTTACTTTCAGTAGCGTATCTTAACAATACACAAAACGTATTTAATAGCCATGGTGTTCAAAACAATTGATTTGAGAAATAGTAAAATGACTACCGTTTGATGTTACCGATAAATAATGGCTGTCTTTTATTACCTACACGTGTACATTGCCGTACTTAATACCTGAAGGAACAACCGAAATCATAATCTATTGTTGGGACTTTTACTCACTACGAATCAAGTCATATCATATATAGCACATTATTAATGATCATAGTAAATTATTAGAAACCATAGTTTTATAGACCTCGGTGATAAATGTTGAGAAGAGTAGACCAAACTTAAAACTAGTTCGGTACTCACAATACAATTATTTTAAACAGAAGGGTGTTGTCTAGGTAAGTCGTGAAAATACTGTTTCAGTTTTCAAGGATTCTTGCACACCAAGTACCAACTGATTTCTTACAATAGACATTTAAATAATAATAGCTATTACAATAATTCTATAATCGACAATAGTAGATAGGTACCTACTGAGTATTGAAAACGAATTGAATAGAATCATATAAAAGTACAAACACATACACGACAAGTAATAAAAACAGTTGATGGGCATGTCCGAATCACGTGCTCTTTATGCACGACATGATTACCAAACCTAAAAATATTGAAGCTACTATTGATAAATAATGTTGTAGACGATTTCCAATATTGTGAAAGTATTTCCGTTGAAGATATTTACTGATTTTTGACAAAATCTAGTCATATATAGTTTTATTTTACTCATGACAAGGAATTCGGGCATAACTATAATTTTGATACATTATTGTGGATAATTAAGTAACCAGGTTGTCTGCTTATTGTATTCGTCAAAAAAAAAAAAAAAAGTGCCCCTAAAAATGTGTCTGTTTACAACAATTGAAACACGTAAGAATTTAAAATTATTTTTACCGTCATAGTCATCAAGTTAGTACACTTAGTTTTTATATGTCTAAGTAAGAAAATAATACGACAAGGCCTTTTTTTCTTTAGAAATTTAATGTGTGCGGGGTACCTGGTAAGAATTTTAAGCCACTGACCTGGATATAATGCATCGTTTTTGTTTTCTTCGAGCTAATCTTTACTGTTGCAGTATAATTAGTATAAGAGATTAAGTTAATTTACTATATATAATATATATATATATATAAACCCTATTTGTATGATATTATAAACTTATTGCTATAGACCCTTTGAAAACAACAATTATTTATAATGTATGATAAGTATTTGAAGTACTCGTATTCTTATTTTATAACTCAAGATAAATAATTATAGTTATTATATGAATGCGTATCTAAAATAATAACTTATTCGAAACTTGTTAAATATATACTAATGCGATAGAAAAATTATCACAAATTATACTATAAAAATATTAATATTAGTCTAAGTATTGGTTAAGCTGTAATACAAATTTTTTAAAAGTTGACATAAAAAAAAAAAAAAACTTAATATTAATAGTTCTAACACTGATTTTAAAACTGCTCCAATTACTACAAACAATGAATAAGCATAAATAAATAGCTTTATACTTAAAAACAAATATTTCATATAATACAAGTTATTATAAATAAATTTACTTATTTATAATATGGTTTTCCTTGTACCTATTTTAAATTATTAATTATTTTTTAACAAATTAACTTATGAATTCACGTGTGTTATAAATAGTAAGTTATTTTATACATAAATTCCGATTGGGTTTGCGAACTATCGAGAAAATTTCAGTGAGCTGCTCAAAATATGGACTAGCTATGAATTTTTTGTTGTATTTTAATTTTTTTAAGAACAAACATTTGTAGAAAATATTTTAACCGAACAATTAAGTCGCACAATAGCTGTAACTGTAATCAAACATTATAGACATTTAAAACTCGACAAGCTAATACTTTGCCTTTCTGGCACTAGCTATATTATAGCCTTATTTTAGAAGCTTATTTATTTAATAAATGATAGTTATACTTCAAAATTATTTTTAATATGTATAATATGAGTCAAAAAATGTTATATTATGCTATGTATTTTATTTATGTTTTATTTGTAATCATTTATCAATATATCGAGTAAAATAATTGTTTGAACGTACATTTCACACCATACAATTACATCTCTATTGAAAGAATATGTACTGTACAATGTTATTGTTACATCAGATATAATGGAATAAATGTTCACAGCACATACTTCATAATTTATGTTAAATAATATAATAACACACATTTTAAGAATACAACTATAAATTTTAATTTTCTCAAGAATATCATTAAAACTTTAAATATTTAAACAATTTAACTTACATTTTATGAGTATAATTCGAGAATTGTTATGAATTAAATTTTAATGATTAATCCATTTAAGGTTAAATTAAATACAATATTGATCATGATATGTTTGAACATAATCATAATCCAATAACAAAATCAATATTATCTGGTCAAATAGCGAGTATTAAATTATCTGAAAATATATCTCTAAGAATTTTAAGATATCTATTTTGTTTATTTATTTTATTAAAAATATTGCATATTAACGTGAAGGTATTAAAAAAATAGTTTGTCATTTATTATTTATGTACACCAACAGATTACCTACAAATATGTATCGTAATTGGTGGATTTATATCAAATTTGAGTTGATTTGTGTTATTATATAAAAAAATGCCTGAAGCTTTATAAAAATAAATTATAATAAATATACTTTAAATATATTAAATTCTTTATTAAGATAAATTATGAAAATGTGTACAATATTTTATGAAAATTACATTCAATTTTCAAATTAATTTAATAACATAATTTATACACCCAAAACAATAAAATTTATAAAATTTATATAATATACATATAGGTAACATATTTTAGTAGCTTGCATGTTATAATATTTCTATTATTATTTTAGTTTTACTGATGAAAATATAAAACTTATTATTTTATCATTTTACATTTACTTGACAATTTGTATATATTTTATTCCGGACAAACTGTAAAATGAAACTGGTTCTTTTACTACAGTTCAACAAGCACGCCACATAATATATAAATACAGACTATCAACTATCCTATTTAGACCAGTTTTTTTCACCTGTTAAGCTTA